CAACTCCTTTGGGCCGTGGGTCAATAGGCTGGGCCCATGCGCTAAGGACTTCTCTCAGGCCGCAGACTTGGCTAGCAACTGGGCCTTGCCATCCTCCCTGGGCTGCAAACTGAAGGAAAAAACGGGCCTGCTCCTGAGCTGTTCGTAGCTCTGCCCGACCCGCTCCTAACTCCGACTAAAACAGCTGGAAAAAATGCTGCCGGAAGGAGCCGCCGGCTCCGGCAACGGTGACCATACATGCGCGCGCCTCTGCAAGGCGATCTTGATGGTGTCGTCGGATTAAATTGGTTCGTCGGATATCACCGGAAAATCGAAGAAGATGATCAAGTGTTGACCAATTTTGTTCTAGATCCAAATATTTTGAATGTAAAATCGGCGGTCTTCCCGATGAAATTTTTGCTTGAAAATTTAAGAGTAGCACGAGCACGAGAAGAGCTTCACGATGATATAAATATCTTTCCAATCGGAGGTTTTTTCGCGGTGGCCGGCGGCGGAGGTGGCGGCGGCCAGCGGCGGCGGACGACGGCGTCCGGCGGGGGTGGTAACCTGGAAACTCGCCTCGACGAGAGGATTCCAGTGGTGCTCTCGGATTTTCCATAGCCTTCCCGGATCGTCGGAAAAATGCATTTGAATGCTCGATTTTGACCAAATTTTTGCTAGATCTGGAAACTTTGACCGCAAAATTGACGGCCTTCCCGGAGGAATTCTTGCTCCAAATTTTAAGGGTAGATTCACCTCGACGAGATCTATCCGATGATGTAACCGATTTTCTAATCGGAGTACGTTTTTCGGTGGCCGGCGGCGGAGGTGGCGGCCGGCGGTGGCGGCGGCCGGTGGAGAAGAAGGAGATTTTCCAATTTTTTCAGTCGGAACTCCGCTTGACTTTTTGACGGGTCCCACAGACGGCGCCAATGAAGTGAATAAATTTCACCCGGGCTCCTTCAACTCGAACCGGCCTCCATACCTGCAGAACCCAACGCCGGGGGTGGCCCCGGCGTCGGGCCTCCGATGCCTAAGTCAGTCTCCAATCCAAAGAGAGAGATAGTGCAGTAATGAATGAATAGAGAGCATGAGAATATGAGGTACCTTGGCCCCCTTTTATAGGGGGAGTATACCTTTTGGGCCCAAGTTGGGCTTGACCCCCATCGTTGGGTTTAGATGTCTTAGTGGGCTTATCCTCCAATATATATCTGCTTTATCCATTAAACCGGGTCCAGTATAATATACTATATCAGATCTCGAGAGAGACGATTAGCTAAACTTGTGATATCTTATAGGATAGACAAAGGTAACATTTAGTTTTGACAGTTGTTAACGATTCTAACTGTTAATTGAAACCATAATCTTTAGTTAATTCATTGTTCTTACCTAATTTCCTTTTGATTATATTTTCTTAATTTAGTTAATCCATCTCATATTCAGTCGTTTATATAAAGTTGACACTATCATAATCTTGTACTTGATACATTAATTGTTTAGTATCTTTGGATACGACCTTGCTTGCTGCATACTACGAGTTAAACCAGATACTTGTGATTGAGTTTTAAAAATATAGGCGAACAATGACGGCGTAAAAAAAAACTTGAATAGAAGAAAGATAATAAAAAGAGTAAAAAATAGTTTTAAGATTTATTGAAATAAATGACTTGAAAAATATTAAAATCCACATGAGCTCCAAATAAACAATTTTGCCCAGCTACACTTGAATGACATGTTTGCAAGTTCAGCGACTATCAAATTTTTCGACGGATTAAGAATCAAATTGCAACATTTTTGTATATATAAACAGTGGCGTAGCCAGGATTCAAATTTATCCGGGGCTGACTAATATACTTAGTTGTATTACAACATTAATATATCATATGTTTTTCAGGATAATTATTCCAACAATTGTTTATTATTATTATTATTATTATTATTATTATTATTATTATTATTATTATTATTATTATTATTATTATTATTTCACAACACCTTCTAATTATTAAGTATTACTAATTTATATATTTGTGGTGTACAGGGACGGATCCAGAACATAATGGTAGATTGGGCTATTATTTTAAAAACGCATTTTCAAAAAAATCACGTATTATTTTTTCTTCAAATATTCATTGAAGTTGTATTCGACAAGCTTTAACAGAATAAATTGTTATGCTCACATTGTATCATATTTGATGTGCTTTCACTAGTTTGATCTTAGTTGATTTTTTCTTTATTGGTTGAAGGTTGGTGCTATATGTGAATTTTTAAAAATTCAATAATACCAATAAATTGATTTTCCATAGGGCATTTATTAGCAAAATGAAATGATTACGCATCACAAAATTAAATCTAAATATGATATACAACTACACTAGAGGATAAGAGATTTAAAAAAATACATAGATGCAGAATTACTACTTCATACACAATCAACAAAACAAGAATTTCAACCAAATGATCTTAACAATTACTACTAAAACCTTAATTAATTCAGCTAAAATGAAAAGATAAAAAAAAAACAGACAATTTGACAAATAAAAAGAATATCTAATATGGAATTTAAAAAAATATAACTTACTATTAAATAAGAAAATAAATAATCTTTTGAAAGTAGTCTATTTCTTGTTGAATAGTTTATTTATTTATTTTTTGTTCTTCTAAATTCATTGTTCTGGTGCTTAGAGAATGAGCATGGCCGCCGCCAATTTATTTTATTAGAGTTTGGTGTATAGTAGAGTTTTGTGGGTTTGTAACTAGTGGGAATGATGCGTCAATAATATATAATATTTTATTAGAGTAGTGTTTGTAGTCTTTAAACTTAAATAGATAAATGAATTATTTTGATTGATCAATGAAGTAGTTTATTGGGTTGGGCTAGAAAAGAAATATAAAAATACAAATAAAAACTGATAGGTGTTAAATAAAAATTAATAGGCCTGGGCTTCAGCCCAGCCCAGGCCCAATTAAGATCCGTCCCTGGTGGTGTAGCTTATCTTAGGAAGATAGCACAAGTTTCAGTGTTGAAAAGATCGACATGTTTTTTTTTTTTTAAAATAGAATAGCTTAAGAGTATATACATTTATATTTTTAAAGATTTTTTAATATTTTAATAATTGTGTGTATCACGGTTTTGAGTTTTTATGATTTTAAAAATTCTTGAGTTATTATATTGAGATATTGAGAACTTTTAAAAGCTGTGAGAGAATTAACTTATTTAACACTGAAATTCATTAAGACTTTTTAAGATTTAATGAAGATTTAAACACAAATTATATATGTCAAATCTTACTATCAAATCTAATCTTTGAACTTAAGATTTTTAATAAGAATTTCACCAAGTAAATAAGTTTTAGAAAGTTTTGAATTTAAAAATATTTAAAATATCACTTCAAATCTCAAATAAATAAATGTTAATTACATTATTTTGGTTTATTCAATATGCATACTTGTTCGATAAGAATTGTAAAATAAATATAATATTAAAAATTAAATTAAAGTTTAGAAAAATTACTCCAAAAGTTTACATTTGATAATGTTGATTTTATTAAGCATGTTTTTATGGGATATAGGAAATTACATATTTATTATTTTACTAATCCAATAATTATAATTATCAGTTATGTTGAATCACATCATTTTATTTCGAATCAACTTTTAAAAGGAAAAATAAATTGGAAGATTATATTTTCATATCAAATTTATTTGTAATTTTTTTATTATTATTATTATTATTATTATTATTATTATTATTATTATTATTATTATTATTATTATTTAATAATTAATTAAAAAACACACCATAGTTGTTATTTCTCCAAAAAAGAAGTTTCTAATCAAAGTTGTATGATTTGAAGCTCCTAAATATTCGCACGACTTGTTAAAAATGATTAAATTTTACTTTTTTATTGTCGTTAATGAAAATAAAACTAAAAAAATAAATTGTTAATAAAGTGAAATTCTTTAATTGAGATTATAAAGATTGACATAATATAGATGTGCTAATTGGTAAGATAAATCTTTTAATTTTAATTAGACTAAATCAAAACACAAGTAAAATATAAATATATTGGTACTTGTTCCAATTATTTTAGGTAGGGCTAACCTTAGCCTTCTACATAGCTACGCCCCTGTATATAAAGGACAATTTACAAAATCGCTATTCGTGGAGGACTATTTTGTTAATTATTGAAACATACTGAACCAAAATTGCAATTTGCTCAACATTTTATACTTCTTTTTTCATGTAAGTCTTTTAAATATATGCAGACATTATAATACCTTTCTATAACTTTTTTGATTTTATGTATTTAATATGGATATTAAATAAAAAATAGCAAAGAATAATTAATTTGATATTAAACATGAAAAATCAATAATAATTTTTTTTTTTAAATTTAATTATAATAAAATTCACATTTATAGTGATTAGTATAAGGAAAATAATAAAAAAACAAATTAAAAATAAAAATTTACACTAAAAATAAGAAATGAAATATTAATTTGAGAAATTATCATACACATTAGGATGAGTGATCAGGATATATGTATATGACTATGTATCAAAATTGTGACACAATCAACTTATTTAAGTTTTTTCAATACTCTTTTATGTGATGTTGATAAATTTTCAAATAAAATCCTAGAAAATTAATTTTAAAAAAAAAAATGTACAATTGCCTTTGCTAAATACGTATAGGTGCATATACAGATATACTGATTGTAACGGCGGAGATGATTGAAACATAACTACTTACACAGAATGAACTAGTTTCCAAAGCATCTAAAAAATGCTACTGTCTCGTTACGGTACCATCCTTCAAGTGTTTTAACCGTTGGACCCACGTGTAGTTAGATAAGATAGATGATCCAACGATTAAAACACTAAACAGTGATAGACACGGTAACAAGACTGTAGTTTTCCTCTAAAAAATCAAGTATTATTCTTCTCCGTCTTTAACTTGGCAAATAGAAAAAAAATGAAAAGCATTGACTAGCACTGCAAAATTATAAAAAGATGATCACGATTTTATTGGCCGGAAATTGCTGGAGAGCCTCTCGAGCTGCGACCACAGCAAGTTCCCGAGTGAGAATCTCGGCCGCTCTTCCATCCCGTTGCTACTAATGCTGCTGTTCGTGCTCGTCCTCGTTGGCGACACCTCGGGTGTCGTCCCTCCAGACTTGTTCTCGAACATCACGTCCCCTCCGATTTCTTGCCTCATCGCCTCAATTGTTTCGATATTTACGTTCTCGCCCGTCATGTAGAATGTCCCGACTGCTTCGTCCCCTCTGACCCCGATCTCGGCCCGTTTTATTGAAAGCCCGTTCTCCCGGAAGACCCGGGTCACGTCTGATAGCAGCCCGGTTCGGTTTTTCGTGCAGACGTCCACACGTAACCCCTGAAACCAATTATGTAAACCCAGTTTATAAATTCATTTTCCCTTCAACATATTTTTTATCGACTAATTGTAGAAATCAAGAAACATACATGAGAAGCCCTTCTCTCTGTGGCAGCAATCAAACACTTTGTCACCATATGCTTCTCACATTCTGAAATCAATACGTGCCCATCTTTGTGCTTCACATAGTACTCCTGATCAGGGGAATAAATAAATTCCTAAAAAAAAATGAGAATATGGGCAAAATCGAATATGTTTGTTCACCGTTAAATTCATTAAATTCACCTGGAAGGCAGTCGAGCCGTGCGAGCTGATAGCCGCGTGATAAACCACGTACTGAAGGTCCGTCAAAACGCACAACGTGTCGAACAGCAGCTTCGTCCGGTCCCGACTCCTTATATTGATAATCGAGTATCCCATCGCCTTGCAATTCTCGATCCTCACGTGGGTCCCGTCACACCCCTTCTTCTGGCCCTTGTGGCAGCCCCCGTACACGTAGAAATCATCCCCTTCACTGTTCCCCCCACAGCAAGAACAGCACGCCTCGTAGTCCGCGTCGGCCGCCAGCAGCTGGTGGAGCCGCCGCTCCGTATGGGTCCGGCCAGGGGCGGGCGCCGCCAGCCGCACGCTCCGCTGCTCGTTCCCATGGTGGTGGGCCTCCACCACGTTCTCCACCTGGGCCTGCACCTGGGCCACCCGACACGGGTCCAGCGACCCGTCCTCCAGGTAGATGATGCAAGCGACCCGCCCGTTGTGGGTCCACGCCACTGCAGCGGTGACGTGGCACGCCAGCTCTGCCAGGACAGCCGTTATTTCGGACATTAGGCCTGGACGGTCGACCCCTGTCATCTCCAAGGCCATGTGCTCGGTCAGCACGTGGCGTGGCCGGGTCTCCCTCCCCATGGCTAGCTTGTGCGCATCCTTCCATGCTTGCCTACTCGCACAAATGCCCTGTCAAAACGGATTTCATTCTGTATTTCATCTCCGTGTCCAGCTCGGCTCGTTTAATTAATCACACGGGTACAAAATAGAATGGAGATGAAAAAAAATAAAGGGATAAGACAAGCTAACCTCTTGGACGTAATCTATTAGGCTTGTATCTGTAAGTTTGTGTCCGAGCTGGTCAGTCACGTGGAAGACTACAAACAGAGCAAACAAACAAAAGCCCCACATGAATAAGACGACACAAAGAGCAACAGTAGCTGACTCGTCTCGGAGTCATAACGTTGTTTTATTTCTGTATTTTGATATCAAGATATGCTAATCTATGACTATACACAACTGGGATATATTACATTTGACCCCTACCATCCATTAACCAACCACCGTCGGATGAGATGTAAGATTTGGAGATGACGAGGTCGAGGTCTGTCAGAACTTGGACCATCTCCAGTAGCATCCCGTGCTTATTAGCACTGTCAACCTGTGAGCAAAAAGCACATTGTTTCATTAGAACAGATGATAAAAGACTACAAATTTCTTGATTGACACAATACTAACATAATTTCTTGATGTTGGTGACAAATTATATGGACTTCTTGGTGATTAGTGGGATTATTATATTCAACAAACCATAAATCAGGTGCTTCAGACCAGCTCGAGCTCATTTAAAGCTCGATTGGTTAACGAGCCGAGCTCGGCTCGGCACGAAAAGAGAGTTTCATATAATTTTTTATAGTTTGACTCGTTAAAACTCGAAATCGGGTCGTTAAGGCTCGAGCTCGAGGCCTTAACGAACCGAGCTGGAGCTCGATTTTTGACTTGTTTATTTAACGAGTCGAGCTCGGCTCAGCTCGTTAAGAGCTTGAGCTCGAGCACCTTAAACTCGAGCTCGGCTCGGCTCGTTTACAACTCTACGTGTGAATGTCTTTTATGAATATTAAGAATTTCATGAATTTACTTTTTTCAGAATATGCATCCATCCATCCACACAGAAAATTAAACCTAATAATACTACAAAGACCAATTCTCGATTTATCCGTGTCATCCTTGCATAGAGGCCATGCAAATCGTTCCAATTTTATCGGATGTCCCCGAAGGGACCTAATAATACTACGGAGCTGATCAATTCATTACCAACTAAAGTGTGAACTTTCAATCTATGGTTGTCAAATTTTTCATCAGATAATGAAATTTGATGTAACATGCAAATACTAACCTTAACCAGGGTGCAATCTGGGTAGGTTTCATTGTCCACACAAACTCTGCAAAACCCAAAAAAAAATGAAAAAAATAAAATAAAATCAGCAAATAAAAAAAAAAAAAAATTGACAACAATAATAATAATAAATAATAATTGACAAAACCTAGGCGGATGGATTCTTTCGATGAGTACTTCGAAATCTGGGTCAATGTATGGCTTGTAATAAGTAACATCCATCTTCCCAAATTCTTCCTACTGCGAGCGACACAATTTTTTTTTGTAATAAAATTTCAAGAAGAAATATATAATATTTATTCAGATTCAAAATTAACAAATAACAATCAAATCAAATCATAAATGCAATGCGATACATTAGACATATATATAGCGGTTTTGCTATCGAGTCATCGGATGGCTCGGCACAAAGAGACCAAGAAAAGGTGTAATTCTTGTTTTGCACGTCTAATTTATATTCAAGAAATCAACAGAAATTACATCTTCAGATTAACAGATTTCTTGAATATAACGAAAAAACCCAAAAAGTCCAAATTATGGGATAATGGAAAATTACATAGGAATTCCAGATTTGAACGCCAGATCAGCTTAACAAAAAATTCTTCAAACACAAGAAATAATAAAGGAAGATTAAAAAAATAAAAATCATTACCTAAAAGGAGAAAGCTAATTAGTTTTCTCCTAGAGAGAGAAGAAGAGGAGAGAGGGAGAAGGACACAGCATGAGAGTATTTTATATGTGCACGTAATTTTTCTCTTATAATAATAAATAATAATAATAATAATAATAATAATAATAATAATAATAATTTTAATAATAATAAAAAAGAAGAAGATGGGGGTAAAATGGAATTATGGACTAGATGGAGGAGGTGTTTGTGATTTTCAAGTGAAATTAAATATATTGAATTAAATTTATAATTTGTTATATAGTCAACGACGTGGAAGGCACGGGGCTAAAACGCCACGTCAAAAGTAGGTGATGACGTGGCGCAACAAGGGGTTAAGGTCGGGGAATTGAGTTTTGCCCGAATAACCACTTGAGTTTGTAATGAACATGTTAGTGAAATAAAATCAATCACAAAATTACTGCTCGTTTTCCGGCAACTTTCTGGCTATCATCCGACATCCATTTGGGTCGGGTGAGCTATCATTGAACTCGTCTCGTCTCGTCAAGTATATATTTGTTGAGAGTAGATGACAATATAGTATACGAATTAAAAACGAGAAAGTAAAAAACACAAGATTTACGTGGTTCGGCAATATGCCTACGTCCACGGCGGCTGAGAGATCTTTATTATTCTCAATAATAAACATCACTCAGCTTCGCTCCGCTTCCTTCATTACGTTCGCTCCGTTACGCTCGCAGGCATCAGTCTGTCCCCTTCCTTTGTCAATATATGAGTCATACCAACAATATTCAACACTAAAAATATCAGCTCATTTATCTCTACTCAATTGTTCGTAAAAAAATTTCCAACGCACGAAATCTTTAGAACGCTATTGTTATTTTTTCGTCCATTTCGGTCAGGCGCGACTAAGCATTAGACTCGGTTTCATCTCTTAAGTTTAACTCTCAAAATATATCATCTCAAGACAAGTTCATTTTTACGTTTGTAAATTATTTGTGGCACAAAGACTATACCTAAATTTGTTGTTCTCTTTACGGTAACTTTTTGACTTCATCCTACGTCATGATTGGCCGGGCGACCTATCATTGGACTCGTCTTGTTGTTATCATGATATCTTATAAATATCATCTCAAACAAAGTCCGATTGAGTATTCAAGTTTTTGTATAAAATGAATGAAAGGAACAGAAAGTGACAACTTATTAAAATTTTCAGCCACATAAGATGATAAGATGAATCTATCTCTTTTGATTAATTTGAAAAATTGATGTATCTAGTTTTATATGCCCAAATTAATATGTCTTTTTCGAATTGTGCCCAACTTAGTGTATCTTTTATTCCTTATTATTGTCATCATTATTATTGTTATAATTAATGTCAAGAGGTGTGAAACTCATTCATATTCCCAACTTGATCTCTAGAGTTTTACAAAGGCTCAATATATAGATACAAAGGAAAGCCTAAAAATCTACACCAAATCTCTAAGATATCAAATATTATCTCTACTAAAAATACAATATTCACAAAATCACATTAACACCCCCCCTCAAGTTGGAGCATGCGGATTCCGAATGCCCAACTTGCCGAGAAAAGAATCAAACTCGCGTTTTCCCAAGGCCTTAGTGAAGATATCCGCCAATTGTGAATGAGTAGAAACATGAGCTGCAGAAATGAGGCCTTGAACAAGAGCATCACGAAGAAAATGACAATCGACTTCAATATGTTTCGTGCGCTCATGAAATACAGGATTGGCAGCAATGTGCAGAGCTGCTTGACTATCACAATGAATCCGCATGGGCTGAGAATGAGTGACGCCAAGGCTGTGAAGTAAACCCTTCAACCACTTCAACTCACAAGTAAGGGTCGCCATGGCTCGATACTCGGCCTCGGCAGAAGACCGGGCCACAGTGTGTTGTTTCTTGGTGCACCAAGAAAGAGGTGAATGACCAAGTTGTACAAACCATCCCGAGAGAGACCGACGTGTAGTGGGACAAGTCGCCCAATCAGAGTCACACCAACCATAAATTTGCAAGTCACAATCGGAACGAAGAAGAATACCTTGACCCGGAGTACCCTTCAAATAACGAACCACCCGAAGAGCAGCATCCCAATGGGCCTGACGAGGTTGCTGCATGAACTGAGACAGAATGTGAACCGCATAGGACAAGTCTGGACAAGTAACTGTCAAATAGATTAATCGCCCAATGAGACGACGATAACGCTCAGGGTCAGAGAACAGAGGGCCGTTTGCTAAAGGAAGCTGGTGATTTTGTTCCATGGGAAATTCTGCCGGTTTTCCGCCAAGTAGACCGGTCTCGGTCACAATATCAAGAGTGTACTTCCTTTGGCACAAGAAAATGCCAGAAGAATTCCTAGCAACCTCAATGCCGAGAAAATACTTCAACATACCCAAGTCCTTCATATGGAAACATCGACCCAAATAGTCCTTAAATGCAGCAATAGAGGTAGGATCGCTCCCGGAAATGATAAGATCATCGACATATACCAGAACATGGAAGCTTAACGAGTCACGATGAAGGACAAACAAGGAGTAATCAGAATGGGACTGATGAAAACCATACCGACGTAATGCAGTAGCAAGTTTCGAAAACCAACACCGAGGGGCTTGCTTTAAGCCATATAGGGACTTGCGTAACCGACATACCTTACCAGGCTCAGGTGAATGAAAACCCGGAGGAAGTCTCATGTAGACTTCCTCAGTCAGATCCCCATGTAAAAATGCATTATGCACGTCCATCTGATGAACCTCCCAGTGGCGAGCTGCCGCGACAGCAAGAAATGTTCGTACTGTAACCATTTTGGCAACAGGTGCAAATGTCTCCTGATAATCAATCCCCCTCAACCTTCCGATTACCTAAGACAACTAAACGCGCCTTATAACGCTCAACAGAGCCATCAGAGTTATATTTAATTTTATAAATCCACATACAACCAATCGCATGTTTCCCAGTAGGCAGAGAAACAACATCCCAAGTGTGATTGTTTTCCAATGCGCGAATCTCCAGTTGCATGGCGGATCGCCAACGACTGTCTTTAACAGCCTCGGAGAACGTCTAAGGCTCAACAGTAGTAGTGACGGCAGCCAGAAAGGACTTATGTGCAGATGAAAAAGAAGCACAAGAAACATAGTGATCAAGAGGATAAGGTGTACCCGAGTTCGAGGACGTTTGATCCGATGAGTGAGGGGATGAGCAAATAGTGTGAGAGACATAATCAACAAGACGTGAAGAAGGACGTTTGGTCCGATGACCACGACCGAGTACCTCCTCGGGGCAATCAACACCCGCCCTATCATCAGCAGATGTAGGAGCCCTGTCGGCAATACCCGTCGTAACAGGAGCTACTCCCTCGTCATCATCGTCGGATGCCAAAGGCCATGAAACCACCGGTGTAGAGGGAGTATCAGGGGATGTCAAATAAGGAAACTCGGACTCACAAAATTCCACGTCACGTGAGACCAGAAAGTTGTGGTTATCTAAGTCATAAACACACCAACCTTTCTGAGTAGCTGGATAACCCACAAAGACACACTTTCGACTCCGGCTTGCAAATTTGTCACCATCCTTGTTCTGATTATGAACATAGCACAAGCAACCAAAAACCCTCAAATGAGCGTAGTCAGGAGGTTTGCCATACAAAATCTCATATTCTTGCCGGATAAAATAGGTGTGGGCGTTCTATTTATCAGATAACCAGCCGCAAGAACACAATGACCCCAGAACTCAATCGGTAAATGGGCCTGAAAGCGAAGAGCACGGGCCACATTAAGAATATGCTGATGCTTGCGCTCAACACGCCCATTTTGTTGAGGGGTCCCAACACAAGAGGTTTCGTGAACAATCCCTTGTTGGCGGAAATAATCACGCTGGCATGCATGTGAATTCAGTCCCATTATCACTGCGAACTGTTTTAACCAATGCACCAAATTGCCGTTTAATGAGAGCAAAAAAATTCATCAAAGTAGAGGAGACATGCGATTTATCATCCAATAAAAATATCCAAGTAGCACGAGAATAATCATCAACAATAGTCAAAAAAATAGCGAGCACCACTAAAGGCAGGTACGCGATAAGGTCCCCATAGATCACAATGTAACAAACCAAATATGGAGCTGCTAATACTATGACTAATCGGAAAACTAGCACGAGATTGCTTTGCCCGACAGCAAACATCACACTTTTTATTCGAAATTAAAGAACTAGACTCGATAAACGAAAATTGACCAAGGACAGTAGAAGAGGGATGACCCAACCGCTGGTGCCACAAGTGTGTTGAAACCGAAGTCACTCGAGAATTATTTGCAGCGATCGTCCCTCGAAAAAAATACAATCCCCCCAACTGCTCACCCGCTCCAATCACCATCCTCGAAGTGAGGTCCTGAACAACACAATATTTATTAGTGAAAGTGGCAATACATCCAGATTGGTCCAATTACCGAGATAAAGATATCAAGCTGCACTGAAGACTGTCAACGAACAAAACATCATACAACATAATACGAGAACCAAGATGAACAGTCCCAGCTTTACATGCCGTGGTTAGCGTGCCATTAGGCAACTGAACAGAACGTGGTGAAATGTCCCGAACATCAGTAAAAAAATCTAAGAAGCCCGTCATGTGATGCGAAGCACCACTATCGTACAACCACTCAAAAGGACTACGCTTACCGGATAATGGAGCTCCGCTGCGGGCTGAAGTTACCAAGTGAACGATCGACTCCCATTGAGCATCAGTTAAGCCGGATATAGCAGCCCGGTCAGAGTTACTCAAGGAAGAGGACGCCCTGCCATTAGAGGAGCCAGAATCGGTTACCGTAGTGCCATGCGCAAAAGCCATGTGTGCGTGGGCTGTACCCCCGCGGGTGGCAGCCATTGGACCATTGCCGCGTCCGCCACGACCACCTCGACCGCCGGTTCGACCACCTGAACCCCCATTGCGACCAGCCCCTGTCCCCCACCATTCGGGGTACCCGATGACTTCAAAACATGAGTTGGATAGATGGCCTGACTTCCCGCAATGGACGCACTGTCGGGTTGTTTTCTTTCCAGTAGTAGGAGCAGATGAAGTGCTAACATTTGAGCCGCCCTCAACATGCGCACCTGGAGTGAACTGGACGCCATATGACGAGCTGGGGGCGACGCCGAGCACGCTCGAGGCTGCTGTTCGAACCGCAAAGCTTGCTGCTTCAATTGGTGGAGGGTCTTGCAGTGCCGTCCGCATCCTTTCTTCGCGAACCATCGTCGATAAGGCTCGATTAAGAGACGACAGCGGGTCGAGGGCCAAGATATGAGAACGAGGGGCGCCATATAAATTCCCGTCCAATCCCATCAAAAACTGGTGAACTTTCTCCGCCTCACGCCGACGATCCCACTCAGATTGTAGATCACACTCGCATTTACCGCAACGGCACATCGGGGGCTTATCATATTCTGATAAATCATCCCATAATTTTGTCAACCGACCATAATATTGTTTGATTGAACCGCCTTTTGTTTGCAATTAGAGAGATCTGATTTTAATTGTTGAATACGAGGGCCATTGACAGTCGTAAATCGCTCACGGAGAGAAAACCATAAATCACGAGCATAATCCGGTTCGGTAATCGTAGACCGTACCTGGGGTTCAATGCTATTCATGATCCAAGAGACCAAGAGAGAGTTGTTGGCGATCCAATCATCGAAAAGCTCATTGTTGTCAGCCGGACGAGGAAGGGATCCGTCGAGAAAACCGAATTTCTTTCGTGCCCGTAATGCCGTGCGTAGACTACGAGACCATTCATCGTAGTTCACATCACCCTTCAATTTTACGTGAGTGACCTGAAGGCCGGGATTATCGGACGACGTGATGTCATATGCGGAGATAGTTCGACGAGCAACGATGGTGTTGCTGCCATCAGTCGTAGATGAAGA